AAAAAAAAAAGGAAAAAAAAAGGAGAAAAAAAGGAGAAAAAAAAAAGAGTGAAAATTTATTGCATTCAAAATGTGTAGGCGAAAAACAAAATGGGTTTCTTTTTGTGTGTGTGTGTGTGTTTATGTGTTTTCATGTTCTTTTTTTTTTGGTTCAATTTTTTGAAATTGTCTTTATTAGTCATCATTGGAAAGCACTTTGTTCCTTTCAAAAATTATTCTAAAACTTTTAGACTATTCTATAGGAAAAATAACAATGAAAAGAAAAGCACAACAAAAAAAAGGATACAAGAAAAAAACACTTAAAAAAATTTCTTTTCTTTTCTATAATCAGACATGGAATATATTCTTCAACATTCTTCTATAGCATTAACTTTTTTTTTTTTTTTTTGAGCATAACAAATTTTTGCATATGTCAGATGTAAGAATAGAAATTCTTTGACAAAACAACAACCTAATAGCTTTAACCTTTTAATCAATTAAACTTTCTTCCTTCTTTTGCTTATAATAATTTTATCACTTTCTTATTTGGAATCTTTTGGAAAAGCAAATAATCTTCAAGAAGGAATCAACTAATCTCGTTTCTTTTTACCATTTTACCATTATTTTTTCTTAACAAACTGCTAACCATTTTTATGTGATATATATATCAATGATACGTTAGTTCAGTGGTATAAAAAACCTAAAATTGTGTTACAGCAATGCCCCAAATTCTCATAGTTCGTTCCTCTGATCAAACAGAGTACGCCGGAATGACATTAATTTGTCTGCACTTATGCTGTTGATTGAAACCACACTGGGTAACTTTCATTTATTTCTTTGTTTATTTTTGCGATTGATAACTGCAAAAAGATTATAAATTATTGCGAATTTTATTATAAGTTCAAAAAAAAAAAATGTAGTAAAAAAATGGAAAGAAAAAGTGAAATAAAATAGTAACAGTTTTGAAGACATATTTTAAATAAAACGACAGAAAAATTAGCTATTTTGTGTAATTGATTCTTCTCTTTTTACTTTTTCTTATTTTCCCATTCCACACTGTTTCCTCGTCTATCCTCGGCCTCCGATAAGTTAGCCAAAAATATTTTAAACAGCAAATAAAAATTTTTTACTTTTTTGATGGAATTTTTTTTTTTTGTTGCCGTGAAAAAAAGAAAAAAAGTGTAGCTGCATTTGACAACAACAGCAGTTTTTAGGAAATTCATTAAAATTGGTTAGCATTTTAAGCGAAAAAAAAAAATAATAATAAAGAAAAAATAAAAAAAGTTGTTTATTTTTTTTTTGTTAGTTTTTAAATTTAAAAAAAAAAAACTTTTTTTTTTCAGCCATTATTTCAGACAACACATATTTACAGTGTTCTTTTTTAATACCCGCTGTGCCACCTCTGTTAAATGAATGTCAAGTTTTTTTTTTTTTATTTTCAGTCAGGGAAAAAAAAATCACCTTATTTAATACGCAGAAACAGGAAAGCGGTTTTGATATGTAATTAAGTTCTTTCTTTTTTTTTTTTTAAAGCTACAGAAGCAAAAATTGTCGACTGAAAAATTCCTGAACGTTTTTATCTACAAATTTTTTGAGTCCTTTTTTTTTTTCTAGGGGGGGGGGAGGTGTTTTTTGTCTAAATGACGATGTAAATGATGAATGCTCAGATTGAATATTTTAAATGTTTCAAATTCAATCAGTTTCAGCTTTTTTCAGTATACTGCCAGCAAATAATTTAGTGGATACTCTCAACTTATCTGACAGTTATTGACTAGCATTTTAGATTTTGCACAGAAGTAATTTGTAACTGAAACAGTAACACAGCTGCATTTGCTGATTTGTAACTAATTGTTTCAGTAACACAGAGAATTGATCTAATAAATATCTTAGGTTTCAGAAGAATCACCAAATGAATTGCATTGTTTTTGTCTTTATAAACAGCGACTTAGCTGCATTTTTTTTTTTGAACATTTAGTATATGAAAAATTATCGTAAACATGAGCATTTGAGATTTATATGTTTAAAACTTAAAATGTCTGTACAGTAAGCAAAAAAAAAAAAAGAAAGAAAGAAAATGAACAGTTTTCTAACCGTTTAACCTGTTAAATTTGTGCATTGATGCAGAAAACTGAGTTAAACAACAAATTAGTTTTTACAATAAATACATCAAAGAGAAAACTTTAAATTTCTGGAATAAATAGCCCTCCTGTTGAACTAATATCTTCAGAACTATTTGAATCAAGCTACTAGATTTTAGTTCAAAGTATCTATCACCCTCATAAATTTCTGATTTAAATTTACTTCAAGTTTATTTCTCCGATAAAATGTGACTTTACGACGGTTGTAAAACAAAATAAACAGCATCTTTCAAAAATGTCTACTTGTTATTCAACTGAATGATAAGCTTTTAAAAAGTAAAAAAATTTTTCAGGATATAGATGTTCAAACATATGTTGTTTGAAAAAGTTCCATAAACCTAATAAAATTTTATTCTGTTGACCTCTTTTGCTACCTTCCTTCCTTAATATTTACCAAATAAAATTAACTTATTTGTGCATTATAAAAAAGAAAAAAA